GCCTCCTCGGGGGGCGGGCAGGAGAACGGGGAGCCCCGGCCCAGACCCCCAGCGGACAGGCACGGAGAGGACCGGGAGAAGTACTGCGCGCCAGCTGAGATCCACCTGTCTCCCAAGTAAGCGAGCAAACGAGCCCTGCAGTGAAACCTGCCCCAGTGTCTCCGTTACAGCCCCCGTTACATGAAAATGTCCAGACATCGTGCAGTCTCCCTCTGACTGCTACACAGCACTTCCTGTCGGGCTCGGAGTCGCGCTACCAGACAGGGATGTGCGTCTTCCTGCTCTGTTTTCCTAACGCACGCAGATCCCCGGACGTTTATAGGCAACCACTGGACAAGTAAAACGCTAGTCCTGTAGATACTTATTTCTTTTGTTTGCAGGGTGGCATTCACAATTGTTTTTTGCTCTAGAATTTGTATTATGGATTTTTAAGCAGAAATGTCGTTTACTTTAAAGAGTAATTGTGGGATTTAAAGATGCGAATCGAGATGATCAGGTCCGGTGTTTTGTTTGTGGATATCCCACTCCTGGGTAAATGACTACCACCAGCGCAGGAAAGTCATGTTTGCCAAAAGGGAATGGAGTTAGTGCTTCGTTGAACGCGCTACGTAGTTTTGAGACGATTCTGTCCCGGAGGAGGTGAAAACATTGTCCTGTTTGTAAGAAAGTTTCTTCTTTGTCCCGAAGAGAGCGGCCCAGGCAGGAGCAGCCAGGGACGGGCGATTCTGGGCGGGACAGGCAGCACGGGGGACAGTCCCAGCGGCCCCCCCGCTCCCACCGCGAGGACGGCCGGCCCCAGCAGCAGCCCCGAGGGCAGGAGCCCAGCCGACCTCCGAGCTACGACCGCACGGGTCCGCCCCCTCCCCCCCCTCACCGGGACAGGGAGCCCCGAAACCACCAGGACCAGGTGGTGCGGAGGGAGGGCGCTGGGGACAAGAGGCCCAAATCCAGCTACACGGGCCGGGACACTAGCCCCCAGTCCCCCAGGGACAAGCGGCCCCTCTCGGGCCCCAACATCCGCACCCCCAACCTCCCCGTGACCGATGGGGTGGCAAAGACTGTGCAGCAGACCAGCCGGCCCTTCAACACCTACCCCCGCACGGAGAGCGACTCCGGCCGGGGCACCAGCAGCCAGGTACGGGGAGGTGGAGGGGGCAGATGGGGAGAGAGAGAGGAAGGTGTACGTAGTGAATAAGAAGTGATTGAGGCAGAGGCACTCCACGGGTGTGCTCCAGGGGCGGGGCCAAAGGGATTAGTGCAAAGATGGAGCACGTGGATCCACCGAGAACAGTCGATTGATCAGATCAGGTGTGAGAGCTGCTGAATCTGTATGAGCCGCCTCGTGTGAAATTAACGTGTTTGACGCCCGCCCCCGCAGGAGCTGAAGCCCGGCCGCCCGCACGAGGCTCCCCCGCACAACGGCCCCACCGGCGGGGGCGGCAAACCGGGGTCCGGCGGGGGCG